TTTTTTTTTTTTTTTTTTTTTTTTTTTTCAGTACTGGGGATCCATCTTGGGGCCTTGTACTTGCAAGGCAGGCAGTGGAACCATGGAGCTAAATCCCCGGCAACATGTCTATTATTTAATGAAGTGGAATTTAAAAATCTTTTTGTGTGTGGTACTGGAGATTGAACCCAGGGATTGCTGAGCTACATCCTCTACCCTTTTCAGTTTTATTTTTTATTTTGTGTTAGGGTCTCACTAAGTTGTCCAGGCTGGGCTTGAACTTGTGACCCTTCTGCCTCTGCCTCCTAAGTAGCTGGTAGTTCTATGTTAAGCACCTGGCCTAACATTTCTTAATAGGTACTGGGTGGAAAGTCCAATAAGACTGAGCTGTGTGTCATTGAGCAAGTTGCTTAGGTTCTGTGAGCTCAGTGTTTCTGTTCGTAAGGTGAAGAGACTTGTAAGAATGCATACCATCCTGTGCTCATCCTAGCTCATGAGTGGATTAAACGAGAGAATCTGTAGGTGACATTGCTGATGGCACATTAGTAATCATCGCTTGACAGTGCGGAGTAGCCAAGGGCCACAAATGTCTTGTCCAGGGTCCCTCAGTGGGCGTGTGTGAAGGACCGGCTCAGCAGGGTCTTAACCTTGGGTGTGTGGAGCCCCATGTACCCTGAGGATCAGTTTTAGGCTCCAGGGATTCAGGGTTTGTGGAACCTCAGGCCTCTCATGTTGTTTGAGATGCTGGAAGGGCCAAAGCCAGAAGCACTTACACCCCTCTTCTCCTGCCACTCACCCCCAAGCAGTAGCTGGACAGCCCCAAACCCCCCATCCACTGATCCCTGTGTCTCTCCCCACAGCAGGGCACCTCTCCCCTACACCTCGCCGTGAGGCACAACTTCCCAGCCCTGGTGAAGCTCCTCATCGACGCCAACAGTGACCTGAATGCCGTCGACAATGTAAGTGGCTGCGGAAACCATCCAGGCCCCAGGAGCCTCCAGGCCCCCTCCTAGGCTAGCAGGTGATGGCTCAGAGTTGGGGAATTCCCTTTTTAGCATTTAAAATGTTGTTTGAACATTTGTTGATGGTAGTTTCATTTTATTTTTTGTTTTTTTCGGTTTCACTATGTGGTTCAGGCTGGCATTGAACTCACTCTGTAGCCTGGGCTGGACTGGAACTCAGAGTGATTCTCCCGCCTCAGTGTGCTGGGATTACAGGTGTGGGCCACTATGCCCAGATGCTAGCGTAAGTTTATTAGCCATTCTCCTACATGGAACATTTTGGCTGTCTCCAAGGGTTTGCCACGGTATATGTAACATTGCAGGAAACATCTTACTTCAGCCTTTTCTTTTCACTGATACATTTAGTTTTCTTAGAGAAAATTCTTGGGGCAGGAGTGACAGGGCGTTTCTTATGTGGCAAGATTGCTGAGTCCTGACATTGTGATCAGTCAGGAGCCCCTTTGAGTCCCCATCCCCACAATCTGCCACACAGCACCAGGAGGGCACAGCCCACACGCCAGGGCACAGTGTTTCGTACACTGTTAAGGTGCATTTCTGGGGACTGGGCCTCAAGAAGTATCTTCAAAACTCACATGCACCGATATTTGTTACAGGGCTGGGGACAAGCAGGCACATGCTGAGTGGGAGGGTGTGGGCTTAGCACGCGCAAGGCCCTGGCTTCCATCCCTAGAACCCCGTCCTCCCCACAGAATTTCATTCCAAGTTCAAGGCTCCAACTTAAAAATGACCCAAGATGATGATGATTATTTGTGTGTGTGTGGCACTGGGGAATGCAGGGAGGCGGTTTCGTCACTGAGTTCCTTTTTTATTTTTAATTTTGTCGCAGGGTCTTGCCACATTGCCCAGGCTGGCCTTGAACTTGTGATCCTCTTGTATCAGCCTTCCAAGTACTTGGGATTACAGGCGTGGACCACAGTCCAAATATTTAATAATAGAAAAGTGATTAGGAAAATTATGGCACAGACAGGAATAGGCTATTTCAGAGTTAATAAAAACAATGTTTGTAATGAGTGAAAATGTTATGTTAGGTGGAGAAATAAAATTAGAAATGTATATACAGTATAATCGCAAATATATAGAAAGACTGGAAGAAATAGAATAGGATCATTACAGATGTTGACTTAGGGTAGTGGACAAGCTGGCTGTCATCTCCTCCCAGCCCCTCCTTCTCTTCTTTCTCTTCCTCCTCTTCCTTCTTCTCTTTCTCCTCCTCCCTCTTATTTTCCTCCTCCTTCGCGCTTTTTGTTTTTACCAACTTTCTCTGGTGAGAATTGTTTATGATTAAAGCCGGTTCACCCCCCCCCCATGTTAACATCTTCCAGATGCTTACAGAAGGGGTGTCCCGCCCTGTCTTGCCTGGCTTTGAGCTGCCAGCCACCCTTGTGTGGTTTTCTACTCACCTTCCTTGGCTTCTCCCTCAGAGGCAGCAGACACCTCTCCACCTGGCCGCAGAGCACGCCTGGCAGGATGTGGCAGAGATGCTCCTTGTCTCAGGGGTTGACCTGAACCTGCGAGATAAGGTACCTGTGCTCCCAGCCAGCGCCCCTCCAAGCTTTCAAGGACCCTCCTTGCCAGAGACCCAGCTGCGGTGCTTTCTCCCTCTCAGAGTGTCCAAGACCCCTCATCCTTTATGCTTCTGCTTTCTCTAGGAAGCCTTCCTACCATGCCACTCCCCTCTCTCCTTTGAGGTCCTTGTCCTGGTTGAGGCCTGTGCTGCGGTTGCTTCCTGCTTCCTGTGTCACCTGGTAGGGGCCATGGGGAATAGAAGGAGGACCACCTCATACCCAGCACCCCTTTGTTCTGGCTCACTGCACCTCTAGGTGGCTGATTCCTCAGCTGGTTGTGGAGTCTCCGAAGAGCTGAGGCTTAGGGCTGAAGGCTTGGAACAAGGCTGGAGATGCCAGGCTGTGAGGACAGGATACTAGCACTGTGAGGCCAGTCTGGAATGCAGGGCAGAGTTGGGGGCCATATCGGGCTAGACCTGCAAGGGACTTCCTGCCTGACTGGGGCCCCAGGGTACCTGGCCATATCACTGCAGGTCTTTGACGGTGCCCTGGGATTCCTGGTACCTGTGGAGAGGCAGGCAGGTGTAGCGGGCTGAACCTACACTCCCTTCTTGGGGTACTGCTTTCTTCATCTGAAAACTTTCATTCACAGGTGAGGTTGAAGAGATAGCAAGGGCTGAGTTTCATATTTAGTGAGTCTAACACTTTCTAAATCCTAAAGAAACACAAGAGGTGGCTGCTGGAATTGTTATGGCCTTATTTTTCCTGTTACCTTTCCACATCCTTTTTCTGTCATGCCTGGAAAACGATTTTGCTCTCTACTGTAGACACTGGGAATGGTTTCTTTGGTCAGAAGGGTTCAAATTCAATGCCAGAGGCCTCCCTGCCCTGCTGAAGTAGAAACCCTGGCTTCCCTTCTGCCTCTTACATGCAGCAAGGGAAAACCGCCCTGGCAGTGGCCGCCCGCAGCAACCACGTCACCCTGGTGGACATGATCATAAAAGCTGATCGCCTCTATAAATGGGAGAAGGTATGGAGGCCCTGTACTCTGTAGTCTCCAAGGTGGGGAGGGAACAGCTTCTGCTCGGGGCAAAGCTGGCTTGGAGTCCCAGCCTTGACCAATTTTGTGGCCTCTCAGTCTCCAAGGGGTCTCCAAGGATGTGGAGGTAGGCAAGCATTCATATACACTGGAATAAGAGAGTCTGAAGCCGTGCACATGGGACGTGTTGCTGTACACTGCTGTACATGAGGGCATGTTGCTGTATACTGCTTTAGCTCCTGGCAGGTGAATATGTGTGTGTGAGTGTGGAAATGCACAGGTGAAGAAAAAAATGGCAGGTTGGGGCCATCTTACTGCCATCTTCAGACCATTGGAATTTCTGAGAGGGTGTTGTGGTCAGGCATCTTTCTGAGCCTGGAAAGAAAGTGTGCTGGGATTGATTGGTGATGTCTGCTATGGATATGATAGAGAGGCAAAAGGAAAGTGCTGGGATTGATTGATGATATCTTCTGTGGACTTGGGAGAAGAGGGGCAGACTTTAAGGCTGTTCAAGAACGTTCAACCAGCAAATGGAGGTGAGTTTTTTGAGTCCCCCCACCCCCGGAGAGTGTTTTTGTACACAGAAAAATTTTGCATTTACTTTAGTTTTCAAAATTAATATTAAATTTGTACTGAGTATATAGTCTTGCTATATACTGTAGTTAAGGCTGGTCTTGAACTCACCATATCACTATGTAGCCCAGGCTGGCCTTGAATTGTCAGTCTCCTGAGTGCTGGGATTACAGGCATGCGCCACCACACATTATTAAATTTGTTAAGTTGAAAATTTATTTTATCTTAAAAAATTAAAAACCTAGTTTTTCTTAAACTTTAAAATTTAATTTATAAATTTTATTATGCCATTTACATGACAGGTGTTTTTTTTGTTTGTTTTTTGTTTTTTTTGGTCTGTGTAATCAGGGATCAAACCCAGAGCCTTGAACATGGCAGGCAAGTATTCTACGACTGAACTACCTATACTCCCAGCACACAACTAATAATGTTTCACAATCTTTTCTGGAGAAGGCTTTTGATGAATATTTGGTCCCATGTTTAATCTAGTTAATTGAACTATTTTGAACATTTTACACTGAACAAACCACTTTAAAATAATCAATTTAATTACTTTGAATGGTTTCTGAATTCTTAAAGTATTCTGTTAAATCTTTTAAGTTAAGCCTATAAATAATCTCAGCTATCTCAGATGGACTCATATGGTAGTCCTCACCTTTAGTCAGTTTCTTTACACTTACAAAAAATCAGGGTATTCTAAAATGAATTGATCTATATTTCACAGTAGGAATCCTAAAATACTCTCACTGATGAGCTGGGATGTTTTAAATAGCACAGTCCCCTTGTCTACAACAGATTAACTCAAATGGAATGCCCTAGCATTAATGCTGAAGGCTTGACGAAGTGACTCATCTCTGCTTAATTCTAAGCCACTTCAGGCTTTACAGGATCTCAGCACAAGGCAGTGGCTGCACATTTGAGTCACAGATCCCCTCTCCATCCCCAGACCTGTTCCATCAGCCCCTCCAGAGAAGGGGCCAGGCCTCAGTGGTTCCTGAAGCTCCCAGATAGAGCCTGTGCACGCAGGCTGAGAACATTGCTCTAAGGGAACGGCTTTTGACACCCAGGTGAGACCCAAGCTCCTGGGTTCTCACTTCAGAGGTGATGGGCCAGAGCTTGTTGATCAACATGTCAGATTTGGAATTGCGGGCACCAGGGTGATATTTTTCATTATGAACTTTTTTTTTGGTACCAGGGATTGAACTCGGGTCCTTGTGCTTGCAAGGCAGGCCACCGAACCGCTGAGGGAAATCCCCGGCCCCATCTTGAACTTTTTTTTTGGTACCAGGGATTGAACTCGGGTCCTTGTGCTTGCAAGGCAGGCCACCGAACCGCTGAGGGAAATCCCCGGCCCCATCTTGAACTTTTTAACAGTCAGAATTTTGCATCTGTTCCCTTTCAGAGGGCTTAGGATTTTGTTGGCTTGATTTACTGATGTTACCTTTCTTTTGTAACCTCTCATGTTATCACCTGTGTTGCCTAGAAGGGACTCTGTAACCCACCCTTATTGTGATTCAGCAAGCGTGACCTTGGCCTTTCTGGTTTGGCCTCAGCTTTGGAATCATTCTACTGACAACCACACTTTAAAAATGCAAAGAAGAGGGCCAGGGATTTAGCTCAGTGGTGCTGTGCCTGCCTAACAAGCACAAGGTCCTGAGTTCAGTTCCTGGTACTGGCAAAAATAAATGCAGTGAGGGAAACCTGGCATGGTGGCACACGCCTGTAATCCCAGCACTTGGGAAGCTGAGGCAGGAGGGCTGCTGCAAGTTTGAAGCCAATTTAGGCTTCATAGTGAGTTCAAGGCCAGCTTGAACTACATAGTGAGACCCTACCTCAAAACAAAGAAACAAACAGACAAAGAATGCAGGGGGATTAGAATGTAGCTTGTGGCACAATGCTTGCCCAGTACCCACAAAGCCCTGGGTTCTGTCCTCAGTTCTACAAACAAAATCAAATTAAAATACTGAGAAATGAGAGGGGAGCCTCTGGCTGGAGGAACTGGGAAGGAGTAGATGGTGTCGGGATGGTCTTTTGACTATGGCAGTGGGGTTGAAGGCCTGGGAGGTGACACACAGGACTTGGGGTGGAAGAACACACAGGTGACTTGGATCCCACAGGTTAAATGAAGGCATGGGTTAGAGCCCAGGGTGGTAGATGCTGAGCCGTGGCCCGTGCCGGCTGCAGGTCCTGGGCTGCCTGGCAGGGTGACAGTAGGTAACAGGCTGAGGGAGACCTGGCAGAGGGCCCCCCGGATGGCTCCAGGACCACCTTTCGTGCAGGAGCCCCAGAGACCACTTGGCGGAAAGAGCTTGACCTTCAGGCAGGACCATGGGCGGGAAACGCAGCAGCTGCGCTCCGTGCTGTGGCGCTTGGCCTCCAGGCACCTGCAGCCCCACGAGTGGAAGAAGCTGGCATTCAGCTGGGAGTTCACCGAGGCCCACATCTCCGCAATTGAGCAACAGTGGACAGGTATGACATCACACCCCATCCAGAGCAGCCAGCGCACAGAGGGGCAGTGGGGACCCCGAGCTGAGCTTGGCCTCCTGTGCTGCTGGGCAAAGGGTGTGTGCGACCGCAGCCCAGTCCCACCCCCGTCCTCTCCAGCTGCCCGCCTGTGCCTTTCTCCTCCAGCTGAGCTGTGCACCACTTCCCCTGCCCCTTCCCAGGGACTGGGACACTCACACTGTCACAGCCAGCCCAAGTCCCCACAGTCAGCCAGCCCAAGTCCCCACAGTCACGCACGAAAGGTTAAACCTAAGCCGTTCCGAGGAACACAAAAGGGCCTGCTGTTGTCACTGTTACTTCATGGTATTGGAAATTCTGGCCCTGACACTAAGGCATGAAAAACAAATAGACATAAGTTGTAGAAATATTGGACAGGAAGAGAGAGAATTAATAAAAAAAAAGATTAATAAAAATTCAAAGAAATTGCTAAAATATACACAAACACCACAGTATTTCTATATATCATTAATAAATGGGCAAAAAAAAATGTATAGACCTTTTCAAAAGATCCTAATAGTATGCATTTCATCAGGAAAATTTTCAGGGACAAATAATGACAAATATGAGTAAAACATGAAAGTTAATTGAGCTTAAAAGAAGCCTTGGGCAAACAGAATGACATTCTGTATTTCTGGCAGAAAAAGTGTTATACAGATGTCACTTTTCCCCAATTAGATTAAAATTTTGATCCAATGTTAATCAGCTTAAAATAGGTTTCTGAAATTGGACCTAAGGATTGCAGTTTGACTGAAAGAATAAACAGGGGTAACATAAATGAATATTTCAGGAAAAAAAAGAGGATATAATCCAACTAGACTCAACCTTTTATAAAGTTAAAATAATTAACATTGAGAAACCTGACACAAAAATATGCAAATTGTGGGCTGGAGATTTAGCTCACTAGTTCGCCACCTGTCTTGCAAGTACAAGGTCCTGAGTTCAATCTTGGGTACCAAAAAAAAAAAAAAAATGCAAATAGTCAGTGGAATTGAGCAGAATTTCCAAAAGTAAACTGTATTACAGATAAGAATTTGCATGTACGGTAAAGGAGGCTTGTCAACTATGGGAGTCAGGACAAAGAGTATTTGATACATGTTGGGACAACAGGGCCAAAGGGAAGTGTCACCAAGGAGAGAGACAGAGAGCTTCAGGAGGCAGAGATAGACTGATCTGGTCACATAGCCACCTGTGTCCCAGGCAGGGTGCACTGACATAGTCACAGGGTTTAAAAACACATTAACCCCCAGGATGGGGCAACGAGTAGGTTGGGCAATTGCTTCCCATGCACGGTTGTATATGGAATCACCTGGGAAGCTGTACCATGGTCCAGTGCCTACCCTGCACCCAGACCCCATGCCCCAGAAGTGGGTGTAATGGTGCTGGGTGCTGGTATCTTCTGCTTCCTCCCAGGATTGGCAGTGAGCAGCAAGGCTGAGAACCACTGGGCAGAGGAAGGAACCTGGCTAGTCTGTCTCACACTAAGCTGATTTCTTGCTAGTAAAGTAGGCCCCCCAGCACAGGTCGTGAGCAGCCAGACTAACTGTACAGCTGTGTGACTCCGGGTCCTGTGAGGCTGAAGCCAGTTCTCTCTTCATCAACACTGGTGGAGTATATGATGGATGCCCAAGAGGAGGCCCAGGGCTGGAGAGGTTCTAGAGCTGAGACACACCTGGTTGAGGCCAGGTGTAGTGGTGTAGGCCAGTAATCCCAGTACTCTGGAAGGCTGAGGCAGGAGGATCACAAGTTCAAGGTCAGGCTGGGCGACTGAGCAACTTAGCAAAACCCTGTCTTAACAAAACAAAAGCCTGATCCACCTCATCTGAGAGGTGCTCCCCCCACCCCCACCCTTTCTGGGCTGCCCAAACTGCAGCTGGGAGAAGGGCTTGGTGAGGTCTCGGGGCTTTGTCCCGTGATGCACTCCAGAGACAGTAGAGGGCCACCCTTTCTCCACAGGCACCAGAAGCTACCAGGAGCATGGCCACCGGATGCTGCTCATCTGGCTGCATGGTGTGACCCTGGCTGGCAAGAACCCCAGCAAAGTGCTGTTTGAGGGCCTCATGGCCATTGGCAGGAGAGACCTGGCTGGTGAGCGCTCCCCCTGCTGGGCTCCCTTGGGATGCTCAGGTCAGAGTGCTGTGCTGCAGGTGCCAAACTGTCCAGTTTCCTGGCCCTGGCTCCTTCACCTCCTGAAACCCCATTGAGCCACGGTACCTCTCAGGGCAAGTGGCCCAGGGAAGCCCTCTGACTTTTAACAGCCTGCAAAGCCACTGGTGCTGTAATCTCTTCCTCCTAGCCCTCTGTGGCTTGATTTATTTATTTCTAAATTAGAATAAGGCTGGGACAGCCCTGACTTTTTCATAGACATTAAGACATAGGAGGCCAGGGATTTAGCTCAGTGGTTCTGCTGCCTGTCTGTCTTGCAAGCACAAGGACCTAAGTTTGATCCCCGGTACCAAAAAAACAAAAACAAAAACAAACAAACAAAAAAACCCCAACAAGACATAGGAGCCCAGTGCTGGGGATTTAGCTCAATGGTTCTGCCACCTGCCTCACAAGTGCAAGGACCTGAGTTTGATCCCTGATACAAAAAAAAAAAAAAAAAAAGTCTTAGGAGCCCAAAGTGGCTTATTATGAGTTCAGCCAGTCAGATGTGGTAAATAGAAACTCTGAGGCCTTTGCCACCTGTTTACATGTTCCTGATGGCTTGAACCACTGGTGGTACATGCACGGCTATCCCATCAGGACGCTTGTACCATCCGATGGGACTGTCTCATCACACCCAGTGGGATAGTCACACATGTACCATCAGTGGTTCAGAGCCGCCTGGCAGCCAGGCCTAGAAATTATGGCCTTGTCTCAAACATGTCTAAGTGTGTCACCCCAAAAGCCTGATTTGGGATTCAGCCCCATGAACCATCAGGCAAGCAGGACTAAAGGTTCTGGTAATAATCCCTCTTGAAAAACAAAATCAACTCAGGATGGACACAAGCCCTAAACGTGGTACGTTATGGGGCACACAGGATGGAGTGTAAGACAGTCACCGAGAAGTGCAGTTATCAGGTGACAAGTAAAAACATCCACCAGGTACAATGAGGGAACAAAGGAAAGGCCAATGTGGTGGCTGTAAGCAAGGTGGGAAAGCAGAGTCATTTCAGGGTGGAGGAATTAGGGGTAACTTCTTTTTCCAAAATATTTTAAAATACAGCCATCATACCTTCTGTTACCACAGAGTCTGGCAGGCAATCAAAAGGTAAGGCCAAACTGGGAGGCTAAACTGAGGTAACAGGATCCTTGTGCTTTGCAGAAAGCATCAGGAAGAAAGTAAATGCCGATCCGAGGGCCCCCAGGAGCTGCATGGCCATGTGAGCTCAGCCTCCAGCTGCTTCCACTGACAGCGCAGTCACACAGAGACCAGCCGGCAAACATTTGGCATCTTTTTGAAAAGGATTGGCCCCAGGGCCTGTACAGACTTCATAGTTTGTCCTGTCACAGGTGTATGGGCCTTTGTAGCTCTTTGCTTTTTCACCCCTGAGCTGTGGTGGCCATCTTGACAGATAGGATTTCGAGGCCCAGGCAGGAGAAGCAGCAGCCCCACTGCGAGTCAGGTGGTGGGGTCAGATGTGAAACCCAGCGTCCCTCCCACCCTGACCTGGGGAAAGGGCTCTGTCGCTTTCACAGTGGACTGTCTTGAACTCAGTTGCTGGCTTTTAAGGATACTCATGCTTTCTCTGCAGTACACTCAGCACAGTTCCAGGAGGCATGCACTTCCACCCCCCACTTACTTTATAATTGTAAAAATTGTTGAGCCTTTAAATTTGAAATCACTTTAGACTTACAAAAGATAGTTGCGGAAACAGTACAAAGAATTTCCACGTTTCTGACTGCAGAGTACTGGCACTTGGGATGAGACAGAAGAAAGAATTCTCATGCCGTTGTGACTTTGAAACACGCAGGCAAATTGCTAACGTGTACCCGGAAGGGTATGACATTCTGGAAAAGGTGAAGTCATGGCAAACAGATGAGTGATTGTTCAAAGGGAGAGACAGTGGGGTGGACAGATGGAGCCCAGGGGATTTTTAAGGCAGGGAAGTTGTTCTGTGTGATACAGTGATGGTGCACGCAAGATATTCGTGCATTAGTCAAACCCACAAAGTATGCGACACAAGGAGTGAGCCTGGATGTAAACTACAGATTTTCTTTAATGATAATGTCCACATCGGTCCATTGATTGTCACATATGTGCCACACAGATGCGATACGGAAACCATGGTGGGGGAACTGGGTGTGGTAGGGAGGGAAACATGGGAATTCCCTGTACTTTCTGCTCAGTTTTTCCTCTAAACTTAAAACTGTTTAAAGAAAAATCAAATCTTCAGGAAAAGCTAAAGTTATAAAAAGGAAAGAAGAAGAGGCTTTAGAAATCAGCTCATTGGGCCGGGTATGGTGGTGTGGACCTGGAGTCCCAGCTCCTCAGAGGCTGAGCTGAGGCAGGCAGATCACGAGTCCAGTTGCTACCATTTGGGTCAAGAATGTGCTAGAACCGTGTTCCCCAGCTGATGGCATGACTGGCGAGTGGTGGACCCTTAGGAGGAATGGCCTCCTAGAAGGAAGTTAGGTCCCTGGGGGATGCGGCCTTGAAGAGGATGTTAGGATGCAGAGCTCTTCCTCTTAGCCTCCTGGCCACCCTGAACGAACCTTCTCTGTCACATGCTTCCACCGTGATGTCCTGTGCCACTGTGGCCCACAGTAGAGCGACCAACATCTTTCCTTCTTACCAATTTATCATCTTAGGTATCTTGTCACACTGACGCAAAGCTGACCAATACACCAGGAGTCCGCGGCCGGCCTGGGCAGCAGGCCTCTGTGTCAACCCATATATTCCATTTGGGAAAGGTGTTTTGTACCACATGGGACTTAGAACATTTATCTGGATGAATGCTACACAGTGAATTTTGTACTTTTCTTCTCTGAGTCAAAAAGGGAGTTCTTAAATACAATTGGAATGTTCAAATATATCTTTCAGGTCATTTCTTTTTTACGGCTCCCTGTTGGGTGGGGGGTCAGGAGACCCACCCTGAAGCAGTAGCTGCCACGCAGATTACCAGATGCTACCAGGTAACCAGCAAGCCTTCCCTTCACAGCTCACCGAGGGAAGTGCTTCCCAACTCAGACCGTTGCCAAGCCGCAGGTAGTCAGAGGAACCCTGTGGCCTCTGTGGGAGATCCCAGGCTTGAGTAATAATGAGATGGAAGTTGGCGAACCCTGAGCTGAGGTGGAGGCCAAATCTGAGAAGGGATAGCTGCTCAGTATTTGGAAAACTGGCAAATTAAATTCCCAGCTGCTTGGGAGGCTTAGGCAGGAGAATTGAAAGTTTGAGGCCAGCCTGAGCAATTTAGCAAGACCCTGTCTCAAAATAAAAACACCGGGGATGTAGTCCAGTGGTAGAACGGCCCTGGGTTTGATCCTGAGACTGCTAAAAAAAAAAAAAGGACAATTGCAACTGGGTATTAGATAAGGTGACAGAACTGTTGGTAAGATTTTTGTTTGGTTTGGAGACATTGTTTTGCTGTGTTGCCCAGACTGGTCTTGAGCTTGTGAACTCAAGTGATCTTTAGCCTTCTGAGTGGCTAGGACTACAGGGGCAGCACCATCCTTGGCTGACTGGTAGAAATAAGTGTGATCATGTGATCGTACGTATCTCTTTTTCCATTGTTACAAATTACAAATTATTGGCATTCTTTGGGACATTTCTGGGATGCGTCATCATTCTTTGATCATGTGAGCCTGTTCTTGTCTATGCTTGTTCCTTGCCCTCTGGAACCCTACCTGGTCCCTGGTGCCCCTCTTGTACTTTCACATCCTCTAGCTTATTTATTTCTTTAGTTCCCTCGTATGAGAAACTTGTCTGTCGTGTCTGGCTCATTTTGCTTAACATGATGTTCTCCAGTTTGTAACATTTTAATGCAAATGACAGCATTTCATTCTTCATAGCTGAATAGTACTCCATTGCATGTATATGTATCTGTGTATCTATCTCTATCTTTCTATAATATTTTCTTTTTTGTGTGGTATCGGAGATTGAACCTAAGACCTTTACACTGTCTTATATCTATGACCCTCTTTTGTTATTTATTTTTGATATATATTAAAATATATTTATTTTTGACTGGGAATCGAACTCAGGATCTTTTGCTTGAGGGACAGACAGCAGCACCACTGAGCTAAATCCCCAGCCCTATTTTTTATTCTGTTAAGGTGTTACTGAGCCACTAAATTGTCCTAGTTGGGCTTGAACTTGCAATCTTCCTGCCTCAGCCTCCTGGTGTGTTGGGATTATAGGCATGTACCACCATGCCCAGTTCTTTGTTTTTTTCCCCTATTCTTTTAAGAAATTTTATTTTGAAACAGTCTTTCTATATTTCTCAAACTTGTGACCTTCCTGCTTTAGTCTCTCCATACACTGGTAAGTGTGTGTGTGTGTGTGTGTGTGTGTGTGTGTGTGAGTGTGAGTGTGCCATTTGAGGGTGGAAGCCCCAGCAAGTAAGTGCCTGGGATCCCTCCACCACTGTCTCACCTTTTAGGGTGTCAGTAGCCTGTGAAAAAGTCAAAATTCCTTCACCAGGAATTCTTAAACCTGAGACTGTGGAGAGAATATGTATCTTAAAAGAGCTCATTTAGTTGGGCACGCCTGTAATCCCAGCACTCAGGAGGTTGAGGCAGGAGGACTGCTAGCGAGTTTGAGGCCAGCCTGGGCTACATAGTGACTTCAAGGACAGCCTGGACTACATAGTGAGATCCTGTCTAGAAAAAGAAAAGAAAAGCGCTTATTTATTCTCATTAATGAATTATTTTTGCTAATGGTGGGATCAAACCCAGGCCTCATACACAATAGGCAAATGCTCTACCACCGAGCTGCATCTCCAGCCCTATTTTTAGGAATGTCTACTTAAAAATCTAGTGTTTCGAGCTGGGGATTTAGCTCAGTGGTGCCACAGCCTGCCTTGCAAGCACAAGGACCCAAGTTCGACCCCTGGTACAAAAGGAAAAAACAACAACAACAACAACAGCAACAAAAAAAAATCTAGTGTTTCTTTCTCTTTCTTTTTGGTACTGGGGATCAAACTCGGGATCTTGCACTTGGGAGGCAGGCAGCAGAATTACTGAGCTAAATCCTGGCCCTAGCAGTTTTTTCAATGATAAGTGTAAGTATTTGTGCTTGTAACTTTGTCACCAACAGAAAATGTAGCCGTTTTCATGTCACATTAAAGTTTTTACAATTTTCTTAAAATATTCCTTACACTTACTATTACTTTGAAGCTGTCATGGTAATTAGACCCTTCCCTGGATGGTGCTTAATGGATTGATAAATGCAGTCAGGCACAGTAGCATATATCTATAACCTCCTGCTGGGTGAGCCAGGAAGATTACAAGTTAAAGCCTAGCCTAGGCAGGCTAGCAACTTAATAGACTCTATTTCAAACAAACAAGCAAACAAAACCAAAAAACAACAAAGAAAAGTATTGGGGATGTAGCTAAGTGCAAAGGCTCTGAGTTTGACCCCCAGTACTTAAAAGCATAAGTGTTATTAGATAGACTACTTGGCTTTTAATATTTTAGTAACTGCATTTCAATGAAATTGCTTTCCTTTAATGGTAGGCATACTAATATGGCCTCAGAGGTGTCCATATCCAAATACCAAGAACTTGTGAACCTCAGGACCTAAGGTGGCAAAAGGAATTTGATAGGTGAGCTTGTGGGGAGCTTCTCCTGGTTTAGTTTCATGGGGGGGATCCATTGCTAGGGGAGAGAAGGAGGAGGGAGGCAGAGGAGGGTGTGCCGAGGGAAGCCAAGGAATTGTATGTCCTCTTAACAGCTTGAGAGGGCTGGGAAGTGAATTGTCCCTGAGCCTCCAGGACAGTTGTAGCCCTGCCCACTCATGTGAGACTTATGACCTCCAGAGCCTCAAGAGGTCGTGTCTATGCTATGCGGAGTCCCCGTGTTCATGGTAGTTTTTTACAGCCACAATAGGGAGCTCATATACCATATAGTAAGCCTGTGTAGTTGATTAAACTGCTTTTACCATGTGATTTATTTTATGTATTTAAGTATGAATTATTCTGAGAGGAGTCCATAGTCTTTGCCAGATCCATAAAGGGCCAAGGCACGTAAGGGGTCCGATTTTGCTCTTATTAGGATCTTGTTGGCTGGGTCAGGGATGCCTATCAATTCCTGGAAAAGGTGTCCCTGTATTATGGGTCGCAGAGAGTGGCAGGGTAGCGGGAGGATCAGGCCACCTGGCTGGGCTAGGAGACCACTTTCTTGTCACATTCTGACTCAGCTGTGGAACCTCTGCCCTGGCTGCTCAAGGGCCAGCTGGTGTTCTCCTGGGGCTCTGAATATTATGTAGAAAGTGCTTAGAAGGTGTCAGGTGCATAGTGAGAAATCAGTAAATGGGCTATAATTATTAATATTTGAATCTGATGGTTACAAAGGGCTGAAGTCACCTAAACTCTGAATAAAATAACACCACCCCTGATGCCCCACAATCAACTTGATGCCTCGGTGTCTCAATTCCAGATTGGGGTTGGGGGTTGGCAGACAGAACACAACGAATCTGCGGCTTGCACAGGTCGCTGTGGTACATGAGTCTGTGGGCCTCCTCAGAAGTGGTGACAGCGGGTTCATTGCTGGGGTACAGAGAGGTAGGTTGTAGGACCTGCCAAGTCTCCCCTTAGTTCCAGCCCCTTCCCTGAGGGCCTTGAGCACATTGTCTTCTAGGTACAAAGGGAGGCTGGACTTGGACTTGCAGCACGCTCCTTGTACATTGCAGCCGGCCTCTCCCAGCCCATCTCTCAGGTGAGCTGAGTCAAGCCCAAGGGCCGCATCCCTCTTCTGCACTGGCTCAGCGCTGTCTCCCTGGGTGTCTCAGGCTGTTCTGGTCCTGTGTGTGTGTGTGTGTGTGTGTGTGTGTGTGTGTGTGTGTTTGGGGGTAGGAGGCGCTATGCTATTTGCTTGGGGCAGGGCTCTAGCAGTCTGAGCATATCTAGAAATAGAGTGGCGCCAGGGCGTGGGATGTGAGTTTATTTTTTTATTTTTTGGTAGGGGGATCGAACTCGGGCCCTTGCACTTGCGAGGCGGGTGGCGAAACCATCCCCGGCCCAGTAGTTTAGGTTTGTCAGTGAACGTCTCTGTCTCTGGTACCTACTTCCCGTTTGCACGAACCAGCCGGCCGTCACTTGGTCTCTAGAAGCGGCTGAACCTCCACATGCAGAGCTCCTCTCTGGCGCTGGGCACTTAGGTTACGCTAAGGGGCTGCAATCCTGGCTCAGCATTTTGTGCAGCTCCTGGCCAAGGAGGGGTAACAAATTGACTGTTCCTCAGCCTCGTCTACCTGAGGAAGGGACATTGGGTAGCCCTGATGGGGCAGCTTCATCGGGGATCCTTCTAGGGTACTAGGAGTTGGGCTAAAGCCTGATGGCAGCGCGTGGAACCGAGACGTGGGTTGTCATGGGCCCCTCAGAGCGCTCTCATAGCGACATCTTCTGGGCATCGCAGGTCGTGCAGCCCTGTCTCGCTCACAGGGACAGGATTCTCCAAGAGACCTTGCTAACCAGAGGTGTTGATCCCTTCCTTTGAATCCAGGGAGCTAGGAGATACTGGACTCAAGTTTCATGTGCAGAAACTGAGGCTCATGAAAGTTTTTACCAAAGGCACCAGCCAATGCATGACAGAGCCGTACAAGGGTCCCCAACTCTAGTAAAACCCTCCTCCCCCACCTCTTCTGTCCCCAGGCCTGCCTGCCTGGCCTTGGAGATTGCCTTTCTAAATCCTCCTTTCTCCCACACAACACTCCTGGAAGCCACTGTCCTGTATTCACCTGCATTCCACAAACATCTGTGTGGGCACCACAGTGGGCCCTGTGGTGCCAGTGAGGGAGTCAGGACACACGAGCATGTGCAGCATTTCAAACAGCCCAGGCTCAAGTGGAGGCAAGGTGGTGGGACAGGTGCT